TATTTTTAGTTTAAAAGACGTATACTAATAGCACACTTGAATAAATTGTATTTTTCGTAAGGGGTTCCTTTTTGAGCCCAACATAAAATATAAAGAAATATAAAATATTCTTTACAAACATTATCTGACAAAAAAAAACTAAATTCAAATAAAACAAATCAAATAAAATATTAGGTTGAATTATAGTGTTTATATGGTTCAAAGGGATCCTAAAAACAAAGGATTTCACCAGACTTAGTTACTCTTTTTGAGCAGAAGGACTGCCCCTATTGAAGGTTTTTCTAATTACATTAACTTCATTCTATTCTTTCATTCAGCTTCAGGGCTCTGTCATTCTGTTAAATGAATGATGAATGTGCATCAGTGAGGTTCAGATTTGAGAAGTGAGAAGGTTGGTGCTGATGTGGGAACACTGATGCTGGTCCTGGAACATAGAGAGGGTGAGAGAAGTGTACTCATGTGGTGTGAGGACTGGTGTCATCCACACACCGCCCCAGATGAGAGCAGAGGTGTGATGCTTGTGTAGACGTGAGAATGACTGGGTCACTGGAATGAACAGCGCTGGACACATGACCCTGAGCAGAGGTCAGCTGTACCAAGAGATATTTAATAACACAATTTTAAAATGCCAGTGCTATAGGTTTGCTTTGAGTTTTCTAATGAATTAGTAATACATTTATTACATTAGATTTGTCTATTTATCTTAATTCAGTTAAACAGACCTATTCAAATGTGTTTAAGTGTGAGAGGGCATTAATGTAATTTTATTCACAGGATGTTGGTAACATTTGTTAGACATTCTAAATTGTACTTTTTCACTTCACTAGTCAGATGACAGGAGACTAGTCTAGTTCATTTGTTGGGGTCAAGAGTCATAGGGCTATTTAACTTACAGGCAACTAAACTGATCTGAAATGTTAATAGTTGTACTAAAAAGGCAATTTTAGTGTAATAAAAAGGCTTTAATTGACAGTGCATCTAATCTTCTGTAATAATAATGCTATTACCTCTTGACTGGTTTACAATGAGGAATACTGCCCCTTTAGAGGGCTGATGAGGGTCTTCTGTAGCTTTAAGAAAAGCAATCAACACAGATTGCTCAAGCACTGTATTTAATGCAGCAGTTT